CATCTATGTCATCATTTCTGTCATCTTGCAATTTAGCTCTGACATCTCCTTATCTTTTTTTTTTCGTATGGTAGTTTATACACCTTTGTGCTTACGCTAATATCGCAACAATCACTTCATCTTATTGATCATCATTTTATTTATCACTTGAGGGGACTTCTTCTTCTAACTACTCATATTGAGCTTGCTCTTCTTGAGGGGTTATTAATTTGGAAGAAGCAGGCCCTGCTTCATTACTTCATTGATAGCCACATGATGGAGGCAGCATATTACCATGCCTAATCATGTAAACTACCACAACATTCATGGTATCTTCATCATTATCTTTTTTTGTACTCAAATCTCATAGCGACACTTCCAATATATATATATATATATATATAGCTCTAAATGTGGTATATAAAGTTCTTCTATTGGAGGAGTATGATCAGAATTGAACTTATTCTATGGGGAGGAAATTGGTTGATAATAAGATTCCTTAGAAGATTCTCCAAGGTGTCGACTATTGTAACTGTTAGTAATAAGAATCTTTTCCCTAGGTACCCATTATAGATGATTCTTATCAAAGGAGGATCTTTGGAGGCTACACCAGATGGATACATCAAATGTTATGCCTACATTGACTTTCTTCTTCATTAATCACGAGGTCTTGGCCTCCAAATTACATTACCCTTCCACCAGGATCTTTTATTAGCAGATTCTTGAATGCGAGGTTAAGGTTTCACACTCTAATGTTCACCACTGGAGCTTTTTTTATTCCTATTGAATTACCGTTATAAATGGTAACTCTCTCGGTGGGATTCTCCTGGCTTTGAACGTTAATTTCCTTTAATACTTTTTTATCTGGCCATTTTTTGTTGTAAATTTTAAAACTTTGTGCACCCCATTAGATAGAGTTTCATGGTCTTTCTACCTCTGAGGAGCTGAGGTTTGAGGTTGCTTTCCCAAAATAACTATTTAAACTCGCTAGTAAAACTATTCTTCTTCACCAACTTTAGATTTGAAAACTTATTATGGGTGGGGATGTTAATCTCTGACTGCAAGGCTGGGAGTTTTGACAGATGCACAGGTAGTGATTATTGGGCTCGTAATTTAATATTCATTTTTTCTCCTTTACCTTATGGGTAATCTTCCTCTAGATGAGGAAGCTTCAGGATCATACCTTCTCGATACCAAAGGCTCAGTTAGCGATGTGATAATGCTTGATAAGATCAACAAAGTCTTCTGCTTGACATCAATTCTCTTCATAATTAAAATATCAGGATGTGAGAGGCTCTCGAAGACTGAGGCCTTATTTCATTGAACTAGTTTAGAAGAAGTAGATCTAGTAGCTCATGGCTATTACACAGAATAAGAATGTCGTGCATAAATTTAAACAGAATCTGGCCTCACAACATGGCCTTGAACAGTTATGACATGAATAGGTATGACAGCAGCCATTGTAGTAACTGTAGAAAACTCTAAGCTACCAAATATGATAGTGGCTTCAGAGTCTCTGATACTAATAACAACATTGGCTAGGTGAATGCTATCTCCACGTCCATTTTTGACAATAAAAGAATTTTTTTGTAGTTTCATTCTGCACAAATGAAAGAATTAATGATTGAAATTTGATACATCATGTCGCACTTTTGAAATGCACAAACTAGATAAAATAAAATAATATATGTAGTAAGTTATATTTAATTACATATTTTCAAATACTAACTTTAATGGATTTATTTGGATTTAAATAATTTTATTGCCATTATAGTTTATATATAACTAGCCAAAGATGGAAAGAGAAATCAATCCTCAACGGAGCCGACAAAAATCTGTGGGCTCCAAAAATTTTGCGTCGTAGCCTCTCTACGGCCCCTTTCTTTGTTTGGGTCGTTGAGGAGAGTTTTAACGCTTAAGTTCCAAGACAAAGTTTTAAAAGGCAGATTGGGTTGTGAATTAAACATTTAAAGATTTCATCCTCATTTTGTGAGGACTTTATGATCCGAGTTTAGGTTTCCTATAGGTGCAAGCACCCTTATAAGTAATTACCCCTGTTAATAATTAGATAGAACCTTCGATTAAGGGTAGTCATTAAGGAGGTCACATAGGTCACAAATCTAATGTAAAATAGCAATAATTTTAGGGTCTGAATTTAGGATATGAATATCGGAGTTTGAGACTTTAAATTTATCATCATATACTTAAAGTTTGTGATCCCCTTCGGTTGAGATTAGATTTAGACACGGCCATCATCGATGTAACATGATTGTCATTTAAAAAATATTTGTTTCTTGTAGCAGTTTAAGAGGCATCTTATAATTTAAGTTAGGACGACTCCAATCCTTTCAAGGAGGATAAAACTCGAATATTTGACCCGCATAGTATTCTCAGACCATTGGATTTAGAAATCATATGTGATGATCATAGCACATGCGGGTGTATTTTAGAATATAGTTTAGAGATTATAAGAGTATTTCCTTCTGTCCTCACGTGCAAATATTGCAGATCTGCTGACGTTGACACTAGCTCTCTTATATACAATCAAATGGATTCTAGCCATTTTATATTTACAAAAATCATGGCATAGCTTTTAGCTTTCTAGATCAACAAGATCTTTACATCTCCTCTTGTAATTCTGATATGCCTTCTTCTTAAAAAATGATGGAAAACTATCATTAAAGAGATATAGAAAGAAGTCAAGTGAGGCTTCTATTAAGCTGGTAATAGCATAGGAATGGTCTAGTGCCTTAGAGCCAAAGGAATCATCTCCTGACACTAACACAACTCTTTGAATAGATCTCCCTAAAACTATTGGTTGTTGACAAAAAGTTCTTATAACCATCAAATGCAATACAAGAATGAATGTTGCAAGGATCGATCTGAGAAAAGCAACATATTCCAACAATAGTTAAGTCAAAAATCATTATCGACAACTTGAAGAATGTCCTGTAATTTAATGGTATATATTTGAAAATCCCCTCTCTCTCTCTTTCTAATATATATATATAAGGTCGTAAGGTCGACAGACGATCGAGTTGGGTGGAACCAGGGTGCTTACAGCTGAGTTGAGCCTAGGTCGAGAGTCGAAGGAGTCTGCAGAAGGCGAACAACTAACATGCAAACAATCAGGGTTGGCACACATAAGAAGGACTACAGGCATAAGTGGGAGGTTGGATTGCGTGCGGTCTTAATCGGGTCAGTTTCTTTGGTTGTGTCTATGTATGTCTCATGTTTGTTATGAAATCCTGGGGGTTTGAATGCTTCGAGTTCCTGTTTGTGTGAGTTTCTTCGTTCATGTGAGGAAGAGAACTGGTCGAGCGAGATTTTGTGTCATGAGAGATCATGAGTCGTTTCGAGAATGTGGATTGTGTGGCTTCTTCATGTGGGCTGATTCGATCATGGGTTATAAGTCAACACCTCCGTCCTTCATCGCATACTGATTACGATCCCGCCAATCACCGTTGCTTGTCGTCTACGATCCATCTGACCACGGTCACTCGTCAATTAGAGTCCCTTAGACCTCCATCACTTGTCAACTACGATCACTCCAATCACCATTTCCTATAAATTATGGTCCATCTAACCACCGTTGCCCGTTTATTGCGGCCCCTTAGATGTATGTCACCAGACAACAATCCTATTAGCCTCAGTTGCATGACTATAATCCCTCTAACCTCTGTTGCCCATTGATTATGGTCTCTCTAACCTCCATCACCCACCGATTAAGGTCCCTCTGACCTCTGTCACCCAACAACCCTTTAACCCAAGTTGCCAGACTAATCCCTCCAACCATAGTTATCCACCGACTATGATTCCTCCAACCTCTATCACTCGTCGACTACAATTCCTCTGACCTTTATTTCCGAAAGACAGCCTCGTAGACCTTAATAGTCTAACTACAATCCCTCCACCCTCCACTGCCCGGCCCGACTATGATCCCTCCAACCTCCGTTGCCTAACTGCGGTCTCTCTGACCATCATTAGGCGGCGACTATTGTCCCTTCGACCTCTATCACTGGCTGACTAAGATCTCTCCAACCTTCATCGCCAGCTGACTAAGATCCCATAGTTTTTCCCATTTTTAGTATTTCCACATAAAAATTATGATCTCCTATGATTGCACCTCTCTTTTATCTATATATGAGTTGAATCTTCATACAAAGCTAACATAACATTACTTACATCATATATGATCTCTTATGATTGCATCCCTCTTTTATATTACAAAACATTACTTCTTACCAAGCTAATTTATATATATATATATATATGATCTCTTATGATTGCACCACTCTTTTATCTATATATGAGTCGAATCTTCATGTGTTATAACATTACTTACATCATTGTTTCTTTTAGACCTGCATCACAACCTAGCTTGAGATTTTTCAAGACCTGCGATACAAACCCTGTGTGTGCATCAATCACCCCTTTCAAAACACTCATCACAATTATCTCTAGGAAAATCTACGCTGCATTCATCTTGATCGATTACAATGCTAAATTTTTATCTAATAAATTTAAATCATAGCTATCTTAGCCAGGATTGCATTACATCCACCACCAACCATGCCATAGCATTTGCTATCAATTACTAATATTTGTCTTTCCTAATTATTTACAAAGCATATTTGATGGTAAATCACCCTTGTACTAATGCCTTTACAAGTAATGAGTATTATTCAGCTTGGTCAATACCAAGGATTTTCCAACTTATCTTTTACTTTATTGGTTGTGTATGCTTTCTTTCGTGAATACTAAGACGATTACGATTTACTCTTCTGCATACCCAACTTACACCATGCAATGATATATCTTATATAAATTTCTCAATATAATTTAACACTAATAAAAGTTTGATCCTGTAAATAAACAATTCGCAAGAGTACAAGGAGCTTTGGCCAATGTGTGACATCAGACAATTATCCAGTGATGAATCTCATCAGTAATGCAAGTTCGCTTAGCAAAATCACATAAATGATCCATTAAATGTAGAAATCCAGTACTTTAGTGTCTAATTCATTAAAGATTGCATGTATGTATTCATATTTTGATGTGGATGTATAGCAAATTACCGCATTTTTTGAATTGTAGATATCATGTATGTCATCTACCTTCCCTTTTGCTTCTAATTTACAATGTACAAAACATATCGCTTTGCGATCAACTACAGACGTGCAGATACATATGTATCAATTATGCATTACAAACTTCTAAGGTTGTATAAAATTATTTATAAAAAATTTCATGGTTTTACAAGTGCTAGCTTCTTCCTCGACGGCCTAATGAGAGACCTTCCAAAAGCTACGGGCAGTGCTATCAACTTCTTCGCTTTGCTCACATATGCCCTTTTTGTGAAATTGTTGTAATCATTTGCTTCAATCTCGTCCAGTATCTGCCGGTAGAGAAGCAACGAAGCCGATACCTGAGATTATGGATGCATTACAAAGTTTCCTAAAACTATATATATATGATCAGATTTGATTTGCACTTGTTAGAACATTGAACAATTTGTTAAATTGATAATGTTATACATGCGATTTTTTCCATGTCAAGAGCGAACTTTTATTACATCCGGTGAACGTACGCTCCTCTACGTTCGGTTTTAGACCAAAACAGCGCAATACCGAGTTTTTTTAAAAAACTCGGTACAACTCGGTACTCGGTACTCGGTACTCGGTATTGCGCTGTTTTGGTCTAAAACCGAACGTAGAGGAGCGTACGTTCACCGGATAAAATAAAAGTTCGTCAAGAGCCCAGCTTCGTACGTAAACAAAAAAATAAATAATCTACAGGGATTCTAAGATGATTCAAATTGCTATAGATTACAATCCTTAAACAGGAAAAAGTACAACTAGTCAGAAAATAAACTGAGTCAACCAAAACCAAAAGATCCGAAGCTTAAAATAATAAGCAAAAGAGGTTCATTGGAGAAAGAACTTGAAACACTCTTACCATCTGGAACACTGTTATCATCCAAAAATCCTAACCCATTGAAAACAAAAGAAGACAAAATAGTGGTCACAAAAGATTGTCAGCATAAGCAAATAATTCAAAAAGCAACCAAAAACAATCCAAACATAACGCTTACACTTGATATTCAACCAAAGAGCACAAGCAAACCACGAAGGAGAGCTAAACAGTACGCCAACTGATAGAGATCGGATAAAGATGCCAAAAAAACTAAAATTCAACCCGAGCCAAAAGAAAAACACCAACAGATCATTGACCCCAACCATCTAAAGTAGAGTTAGCCACATAAGACTGAGGGAGTCTCAAATGACTTCAGGAACAAATTTTAAAAGCACGTGCAACCCATCTTCTAACAGAAAGTAGAGATTAGCGACCATGGCCAAAAACAACATTTCTGCTAGCGTTAGGTAATAAATGAAAATGCTTATGCTCAACTTAGAAATGGTAACCTGGCCAGAATGAACCCAATAATGAGATCAATGATGTAGCAGCAATACATATCCATTACATGAACAAGAGCAATGCATCAAAATTTCAAATTATCAACATCCACAATCCAAATCTAAAAGCATACATATAAAAAATTGGCGGTCCCTTCATAAAGTGAATCAGGTATGTGGTCATTAGGGGTGTCAAAAAGGGTCGGCGGGTCGTGTTCGGGTCGACCCTGAGTTGAACCGGGTCTAAACGGGTCAACCCGAACTCGACCCGTTCTTACAAATGAGTCCAGAATTTCAACCCGAATACGACCCGTGTAGTTTACGGGTTGACCCGACCCGACCTCCAAAAACTGAAGCCTGAGCTGAGCAGTTTCCTTCGGGTTCGCTAAGTGCAGCGTGGCGGTTGAGTCAGAGCATCGGAGCGACCTGCTTCTAGTCGAAGTGTCGAACGACCCGAACACCAGCATCTAGCATGGTCGAGGCGGAACTGCAGTGCGACCGGAGCATCGTGAGGCCGAGGTGGATGCCGGACTAAGCGTGGTCGAGGCAGCACAGCGAGGCGGAGCGGCGGAGCGGCGAAGCGCCAGAGTTGGCTGCGCGACGGAGACGGGCGATGCGACAGAGCGATCGGGCGCGATGCAATAGCCTGAGTGCCTGATGTGATTAGACGTGATTGTGCGACGTGACAGCATGAGGCAACGGGACAGGCTGGTATGACGTGACAAGTCATTTTCCCGGGTCAAAACAGATTGATTTTGGATTTTCAGGTCAACCCGAACCCAACCCGTAATGCAAATGGGTTGACCTGAACCCGAAATTTTTTGTGTTGGGTCCGAGTCGGGTCAGAATTTGACACCCCTAGTGGTCATCCAACCTTTTCTTTCTAGAATGGTTGATAGCTTTGCAAGTAATGTGTTAAGATAGTTGCTACTTAGTTTTGCATGTTTGATATTCTTGCAACTTGTATGTTTTTAATGATTCCAAATATTATTGATTTGATTATTATTTCTCCTAACATATTTTGGAAGAATTATTTTGTTCTTATGTGTACTAATCTTTCAGGAAAATCATATTCCGGATTGTTGAAGACTTCAAATCAAGATCAGTTTTAGAGTTTATTGTAATTGAAGTCTGTATTTTCCATTTTATTGAGTCTGAGAGAGTGTGATTGTAATTTAATAACTGATCACACACACACTGAGGAAGAGTTTAAAAGTCATATTTTTTAAACTGATCGTACTGTACGATATTACTTCGTACGGGAGGATCTGATCAATTATTTTCCCAATAAGCAGTTGAACGAATAGAAAAGAAAATTTTTTCTAAGTATAGTTCGTACGGGACGTTCCATGATTCGTACAGGACCGAACGTCTCGGGTTTGTTCTTGCACGAAGATCGTACGGGACGATTCCTATTTCGTACAAGGACGGTCGTCTCGGGTTTGTTCTCGAACGAAGATCATACAGGACGATCCATGATTCGTATAGGGACGAACGTCTCGGATTTGTTCTCACACGAAGATCGTACGGGACGATCCAATTTTCGTACAGGGATGAATGCCTATGTTTTTGTTCTCTCATGCAAATTTTTTTCTAAGTATGGATCGTACGGGATGATCCCCATTTCGTACCAGGACGAACATCTCGGGTCTGGTCTCGCTCATTTCTTCCTGATGTTTCGTACATACTAAATTTGAAATTTTATAACTCTTTGTCCCAAACGAACTTAGTTTGTACCGAACAATGATCGCATACGAAATAATTTCGTTCTGATTCACAATAGGTTCGTATGCAACAATATTTGAACTGTTCGTACATACGAACATACGATCATACAATACGATCGTGTACGCTCAAAATTAAAAAAATCAATTTTCTGGATAATTTTTCATGTCTTTTGTATAAAGGGTCCATTAAAAACTGAAAATCTTTGCTTCGTTAATTTTCTAGGGCAATTGAAGGAGAGAATGTGAGAGAGTGTTTGAGAGAGATTTCTTACTAGTGGAGTGTGAAGGGTTCACAAGGTAACTCAAAGGTACGGATCTCTGTGTGTGATTTGAGTTTTTCACTTTTCCTCTTGTCTTTCTAGATTGCTCGTGTGAAGATCTTCGAAGAAAATCCGGCTCTCCCGACATTAAGAGAGTGAACAGCCGACGGTTCTCAGCCGACACGTGGAGAGTGTGAAGAGTCGAAGGTTCTCTGCCGACACTTTGAGAGTGAACAAACGACGGTTCTCTGCTGACACTTGGAGGGTGTAAAAAGACGAATGTACTCTGCCTACACTTGGAGGGTGTGAAAGGACAACGGTTCTCTGCCGACACTTGGAGGGTGTAAAAGGACGAAGGTACTATGCCTACACTTAGAGGGAGTGAAAGGATGACTGTTCTCTACCGCACCAGGGATTGGTGGAAGAAAGTTTTGTAAAGGCTTCCCCCCTTGTTGTGGGGGCAAAAGGAGAGCCACTTTGGTAATAGTGCAATACCTGAAGAGAGATTCTTTAGGGAGTGGATGTATGTCGTGTTTGACCGAACCACTATAAATTCTTGTGTCATTTTAATTTCCGCTGCTTGCTGCAATTTTAATTCCCTGGTTGAAAAATTATTTTCATGTAACTTCAATTAAATTGCTACGAATCATTAACTAGTTTCAATTTTTAAATCCAAGAGAAGTAATTTTTTTTTAAATTATCAATTCAACCTCCCTTTTGGTTAGCCTTGGGACATTAGTTTAGGTTTAACAACCTATTCTAGATTCAACAAGAATCAATAAGTGGTATCAGAGCTTTGTTTCAAAATTACAAGTTTAGACTACTTTTAGATAAATGAGAATGGCTACTTTTGAAAATCGGAACACACCTGAAGGGTATTCGATCACTAGACCTACTTTATTTGATAACATTCCTTTTGATTTTTGGAAAACACGCATGTCTATATTTATACAGTCACTATATTATCGTATGTGGATCTTAATACAAGAAGGGTATACAAAATCAACTAGATTAGTTGATGGCATTAGAGTTGAAACACCCTTTGCAAATTGGACTGTAGAAAAATGAGAGTTAGCACAGCTCAATGCAAAATGTTTAAACAGTTTCTTTTGTGCACTTAAGTCAGAAGACTACATGCGGTTTCCACTTAAAAAAATGGATATGACATATGAGATAGACTTTGTATCACTTATGAATGGACTAACAAAGTAAAGCAATCTAGACTAAACATCTTGTTACATGATTATGAATTATTTCGCATGAAACACAATGAATATATTTCTGACATGTATACAAGATTAACTCAGATAGTCACTTCTTTGCATGCGTTAGGTAGGGAACTAACGAATGCTGAAATGGTTAATAAGATTCTTTGTTGTTTGCCTACTGCATATGATGCTAAAATAACTACAATAACAGAGTCTAAAGATTTGAATGTTTATTCTATTGAGAATCTTCTTGGATCACTAATTGCTTACGAGCAAGGAGTGAGTCAAAGAAAGATTGATGCATGAGAACAACGAAAGGAGAAGAACATTGCACTGAAAATGGAGGAGACGGAGAGTGATCTGTCATAACCTGAGGATGAGGATGACATTACCTTAATGACTAGGCAATTTAGAAGCTTTCTAAAGAGGAAGCAGAATAGACGCCAACAGTGGAACAGAGGTAAATTTAATAAGAATGTCATGGTGTCAAATGATGTGATTTGCTATGAATGCAGGAAATTCGTACTTGTAAAATTAGATTGCCCAAAACTAAAAGTCACTCCTAGCAAGGAGAAGACAGAGGAGAAATCAAATGTGAAAAAGGGCAAGAAGAGATACCAAAGAGCTTTTTGGGTGGACTCGGCTTTAGAATCGTCAGAAACAAAGGAGGAAGTCACCAACTTTTGTTTAATGGACGATAATCTTGATCAGTCAGATAAGGAAGATATATGTGACTTGACCTATAATTAATTATTAAAAGTTTCTGAAAGAATTCATGACGCATATAGAAAGCTAAAGAAAATGCATGCTAGTCTGA